CCAGTGGAATCTTTGTTAGCAATGTATCTATTCATGATGTAGGAAACATACTCTTTGGTTTTTTACTTCTTTGCCTGGTGCTTTGAAGCTTTCTATATATTTGTGCATCAGTGTGATTTGTTCTGTCTTATTACTGTGTGGTATTCCATTGTTTTCGTATACCACATTTTTATTGATTCATCTGTTGGAAAATATTTGGGTTTTTCAGTTCTGGTCTAAAATGAATTAACTTGTTGTGAGCATCCAAATAATAAGTCTTTATGTAAATACTTGGATTCATTTTCTTTGAGAAAATATCCTAGAATAAGATTGTTGACTCAGATAATTACTGTAAGAAACTGTGTAACTGTTTACTATGATTGTGCACTTTTGTGCACCCACTCCAATTATAGATTGTACCAGTAGGAATAATCAGCCCAGCCTGGTTTTTCCCTGATCTGGTCCACATGAGGCACACAGGTGTTGTAGCCTTGCCTAGTCTGATCTGCCCCCATCCCAGCTCATGCTCTCCAGTGGCAGTAGCAGTGCAGCAAGGGAACCCCCCCCCCTTATTCCCCTGCCGGCTCTGCCCCTCCCTTCCTGGTTCTCATATGTGCTGGTGGGATGCTGCAGTCACATCTAGCTCAGGCAACCTCACCTTGGCATTCCTTGTTGTGCACTGCTTTTTGTCGCGACCGAACCCGGCTCTACCCACACTCTGCTCCAGTGTTCGGATTTGCCAGTAGATGACATGAACTGATTCAGCCTGGTCTGCCCCCGACCCATGCTAAATGTGTGCCAGTGGGACACTTTCCTTGGCCTCTTCTGGGCTATTTCCTATCATGCTTCTTGCTCTTACTTGACTGTTTTTTCTCTTGGTCTTGCAGTATATACAGTAAGTCCTTTGGTCAATCCTTCACCTAACAGGAGTGAAGATAACAGTCTACCTCTCTTGCTTGCCTGCTGGGATTCTTGTATACGTATGGGTTCAGCCCATGTGTTCCTGGCTTTGCAACTGTGTGCTTTATTGGGTAGGTTAGAAGTGCTTAATCTTGTTTTTGAGTCATTTTAATAGATTTCTTTTTTAATTTTAATTTTTAAAAAAATTTAAGATTTATTTATTTCTATTGGAAAGTCAGATGTAAGGAGAAGAGAAGAGACAGAGAGGAAGATTTTCTGTCCACTGATTCACTACCCAAGAGGCCGCAACGGCCAGAGCTGAGCCGATCCAAAGCCAGGAGCCTATAGCTTTGTCCATGCTTCCCATGTGAGTGCAGGGTTCCAAGGCCTGGAGCCATCCTTGCCTGCTTTCCCAGGTCACAGGCAGGGAGCTGGATGGGAAGCAGCGCCTCTGGGACATGAACTGGTACCCATATGAGATTTTGGCATGTGCAAGGCGAGGATCTCAGCCACCAAGCTACCACACTGGGCCCCTTTAAAATTTTTTTTAAAGATTTTGTTGACAGTTCTTTAAAAACATAATTTTTCCTGTTAGTTTTAAGTTTGCTATTCAAAATACAATTTCCTAATTTGAAAAGCAGAGAAAAATGTCTTTAGTCTGCTGATTGACTTATCAAGTACCCACAACAGCTCGGGCTGAGCCAGTTTGAGGCAGTGGATCTGGACCTCAGTCTGGGTTTCTGACTTAGGTTGCAGGTACCTGAGTACCTCCCACTATGCGCGTTAGCAGGAAAACTGGGACTGAAATCAAGGACTGCTGTGTAGGATGCATGTGTCACAAACTGGCTTCAACCTCGGTGCCAGATACTCGCTCTTGAAACACTAAGATGAACGTTCCATGCCAGTTATGGCAAAGTCTCTAATGCAGGGTAACAGTGTATACTACAGAAATGTGGAAGCGCTTAATCTCCAAAACTCATGCTTAAATATTTTCTATCACTTACTGGTTGTTCCACAAATATATATTGAGTTTCATAATAAAGCAACTATGACTTCTGTTCAGCTTCAGATTATTTTTCTCTTAGCACACTGTAACATTGTTATCATTTGCTCCAAGACTGTTTTTTAAAGATACGTAGCCCATTGACATCATGTGTAAATTGTGAATTTTGACGTCTCTAAGCAGCACATTCAGTCTTCTCTTTGCCTTGCCCTCTGCCTTTCCATACTCCCTTGTGTGAAATGTCCGGCCTTTGGAAATGTGAGTAACTCGCCACCTTTCCACATAACAGACAAGAAGAAAGTGCAAAGAGCAAAGGATCATTCTTGTCTGTTGATCCAATGCTGCAGATGGCCCTTTTAGTCATATCTAGAGAGCGGGGATTCCCGCAAGACTTGAATAAGCAAGTACAAAGCCATGTGATCTTAGGGTTAGGATGTATGTGTGATGTCATCTCCTGCCTTTAGTCATAATTTTCTAGCTTTTGAAGAATGGCCTAATCTGTTTGTTATTTCCTGTGCTTTATATTGTGTATAAAAGCACCATGCTAAATTTTCCTTATGCGACAGTTTTGTCGTATTGTTTGAATTATTTTGTACTGGAAAGGATACATTGCCTAAGGAGGAGTTTATTCATGTATTAATGTAATAATTTTATGTTATTCAAGTGAAGTCAAGCATTTATATGTTAATAGAACTTAAAAGTAAACTGTAAAGATTATTATTGAATTTGAAAGGAAAAATTCTGCATATCATTCAGATACTACCTTGTCCTGTTTATATTGCCTTCCTTACTGTGCTTTATTTTCCTCTGGCTTTTGTGGGAGTTTTCACCAATTAACCTGTTAAATATTAAGCATTTATTTATTTTGTTTTCTGTCTCTTCCTTCTGTGTAAGGCATGAGAGCAGTCATTTGTTTCTGTTTTCTGTTTACTGGCTAACTCACTTTAACACTGACAAATGGGGATAGCTTATCAAGTGTTTGCTATATATGCATGAAGGATCTGAGACGAGACCACTGCTTGCCATTTTGGCATCCCACATCAGAGTGCTGGTCAAGTCCCACCTGCTCCACTTCCTATCCAGCTCCCTGCTAATGTGCCTGTGAGAGCAATGGAAGATGGCCCGAGTGCTTGGATCCTTGCCTCCCATAGGGGAGACCTGGATAGAGTCTGACTTCAGCATTGCCCATCCTGGACCCTGATGTTGATTTAAGGAGTGAACCAGACGTGAGATCTCGTTCTGTGTCTGTCATTCTGTCTTTCAAATAATTAAATGTCTTTCTAGAAATATATGAAACCTTTCTAATCCAACTTTAGTGTACTCTCTTAACACAGAGCCTAATGTAACTTCTACTTCCAGCCTGCTATTGCCTAGATAATGATGTCAGTCTAATAGTATAGCTATAGCTTTTGTGCTCAGTGAAATAAACCAATCTCCAAAGGACAAATATCTTATATTTTGTCTGATACAAGGCACCATTCATACAAAATACTATGTAATGAGACTAGCATAGCAAGATGGGAATATATAGTGCAGTATGCATACCTTCTCCTGAATATAAGTTGGACTCCCAATGAAAAGTTATCTTGACAATAGGATGCTGGACTCTTTATCATTGTCTATAACTGAAGGAGTATCCTATTGTAATAATATTGGGGAAACAGTCGAGGAAGGGGAAAGGTAATTGAAGGTGCAAGGGAAATCTCTGAGCCTGTGGAATCATACTGAAGAAAAAAAAATTCTGCAGAGAGAAAAGCATAGCTCCTATTCAGTGGTTCTTTCCTCAGAGGCTCACGGCAGCTGGGGCTGTGCTGGCTCGTAGAAGAGAGAAGAGTGTGTAATGTAGGTCTCCCATGTGACTCACCACCTGCTGCCTCCCAAAAGTGAGCATTAGCAGGAAGCTAGATTTGGAATGGACTCAGCTAATATACTCCATCAAGGACTGGGCATCCCATGTCGTCAGCTGACTGTGTTGTTGGCTCTGAGTGATTGGTGATATACCTGACACTTTTATACTGTTGTGTTTCACACTCTCAGGTGATGTTGCTGTTCTTGTGCGTATCTGTTAGAATCTCACTGCACTTGATTGTGTTGGTTACCTTGGTTAGGCCTCCAATCATGTGGACACAAGTGAACACATCTTCTGAAAGTGCTCACTAAATGGTTTATATGAAGGGTCTATGCTGAGGGATAATGCATGAAGGCAGCACCTGTGGTGCTGGCAGCCTGTGTGGAGCTGCTTTGAGTCCCAGCTGCTCCACTTTTGATCCTGCTCCCTGCTAGTGTTCCTGAGAAAGCAGCAGAGATTGGCCCAAGCACTTGGATCGCTGCACTGACATGGGAGGCCCAGCAGAACCTCCTGGCTCCTGGCTTTAGACTAACCCAGCTCTGGCCATTGTAGCCATTAGGGGAATGAACCTGTGGATGGAAGAACTGTGTCTCTCTGTTGCTTTTTCTGTATCTCTGCCTTCTAAATGAAGAAGTAAATTTAAAAACTCGCTGAAGAATCAGATCTGGGATCAACTCAGATGAAGTTTCTTTGGATATCTCTCCAACTGCTGCTGATCTTGGAACCCCAACCATCAAGAGACTGTCAGCCAGTGGACTCTGAATAGGTTTCATTGCGGTTGGGACGGTGAGATTGGCAGCAATCCAGAACTGATGAACTATCAAAACTGTTTGAGCAGGACCCTTGGAGCGCGCCTCATGTTGGGGATCGGAGATGGGTGGGAGGTTGGGTGGGGCTTTTCCCTTTGTTACTCCCCTAACCCCAGACACAGGGCAAAATGATTATATTAGTGTGGAAACAATGATATTACCCACTTTCACCCTGTAGCCCTTGACCCTTTATACCCTAATAAACTAAGATTATTAAAATTTTTTTAAAAAGGAAGGAAAGCGATTTTTATTTTTAAAATTTTTATTGAAAAATTTTATTTTTATGAAAATACATGAATCTGGAAGTGATATGATACATGCCAAGAGTTTATAATATAATATATTATGGTGCTTGTTGGACTAGGCCCATTGCTTTGTGGCTTCCTCAAAACAAAGATCTACTCCTTAAAAATGCTTATTATGTGTTTTTTTTTAAACAGTTTTTTTTCTTCACTTACAGATATTGATGATGTTAAGAAGTTCAAACCTGGGTACTTGGAAGCTACTCTCAACTGGTTTAGATTTTATAAAGTCCCAGATGGAAAACCAGAAAACCAGTTTGCTTTTAATGGAGAATTCAGAAACAAGGTGACAATAACTTTTATCTTTGAATCTGCCTCCTTGTACCTACATGATGCTTATTTTGTTTAGAGGATTTCTTCAGTAGTGTCTTCTGCTAATTTAAATTTTATAGAACATTAATCATTCTAAAATTTTTTATGGATTCTACGTGAGCCAACAAAACCGACAAATAAGTGTTTCCATCTGTTTGTCTCTGTGTAACTCCATATTCTCATAAAATGAAGGAATTTTATGATCATTCTAACTTTGCAAATCATGTTTGAAATACAGCCCTTGATGTTGTTTGACAGGAATTCCCCTCGTAAGTGCACCCTGTGCTGTGACCAAAGTAACCTGCTTAGTAATTCAGAAAGCACTCAAGCTATCTTCCTGTCAGGATTTTTCTGTTGGAATACCAGAGTCATCAAAAAGTATCTCTTAACATGGCTACATATAGAAAATAGGCAAAAAGTTAAAGTCTAAAATGTGGAATTCTGTTTAAAAAAATACTGCACTCTAAATCAACCTTTAAGTGAGTACTAGTAAGTCAAATAGATTTCTAAGTAAAATATAAAATATAAGTAAATTATAAATGTAAGTAAATACAAAATATATAAAGTAAATATAAGTGAGTTATGCAATATAAGTAAAATTTGACTAATAAGTCAAATAGATTTCTAAGTAAAATATAAAATATAAGTAAATTATAAATATAAGTAAATATAAAATATATAAAGTAAATATAAGTGAGTTATATAAGTAAAATTTGACTAGTAAATCAAATATATTTCTAAGTAAATAAAACAAGTTAATGAAAATTTTAAAATTACAGTATAATCTATAATGCTGTGCAAGAATCGATTTAATGAGCTCAGTGTTTTTTTGAGAGACCTTAACAAAAGTTCAGCATCCTGGAAGGGAGCTAGGTGTTGTGGTCCCTACTGTGGACTGCCACATCTGTTATCAGAGTACTGGTTAAAGCTGCAGCCGCACAACTTTGGTTCCAGCTCCCTGATGTGCTGTTGAGAATCAGCAGATAGTGGCTCAAGTGCCTGAGCCCTGCCTGCCCCTGAAGAGAAGCCAGTGGAGTGGCTTATTCTTGGCTTTGGCCTGAGCAGGCCTGGTTGTTGGACAGCAAACCTGTGGATGGAAGATTTGCTGTCTCATTCCCACTTTGGCACTCTTTCACATACATAAATAAATTTCTAAAAACGAAAACATCTTTAGGATTTTTCTCTAAGATTTTTCAATACAAATGTAAAACTACTTTCGACTGAATTTTTTTAAGAATAAAAAAATTTTATAATAATTTTTTTCTAAAATACTTTTTGCATTTTGTGTTTGTTATAATATAAAAATCTTGCCTAAATATACTTTTTTTGGCCCTTTATTATTTCTTGGTGTTTTGCCAAGTTTGAATTAATAGAGTAAAGTCGTTTTTGTTTTATGCATTGCTTTTATCACTACTTTTATCACTACTATCTTAAGAAATAGAACATAACTCAAGAAAATGAAATGTCTGTCTTTAACGTGATAGAAAAATAGGACTTCAGTTTGTAATTAAAGGCTTTTCCTGTCTAAGCAAATGTTGAAACTGGTTTTTAACCAGAATTATCCGAATAAATTTATTTTTAAAATCTTCCTTTGTATTATCTAGATAATATATTGGATTTCTTGTCTCCAACATCACCTTATTGAGAATTAAGTGATTCTTCTTCTCAAGCAACAGTAGGCCTGAGACAGCTATATTCTCTAGAAGCTGCATTTCCTGTTACTGGGGTAGGCATTGTAACTGCTTGATAGCCTACCTTCTCTAGTAAGTGCCTGTTATTGAGTACCATTTTCAGCTTCTGATTCACCTTCCTGCTAAATGTTTACCGTGGGAAGCAGCAGGTGCTGGCTTGAGTATTTATGTCTCTACCACCAGTGTGGACCATGTAGATGGAGCTTCAGGCACCTGACTTCAGCCTGTTTGAGCCACTGATGTTGCAGGCATTTGTGGAGTGAACCAGGGGATGGAGAAAATCCTCTCCATTCCCTGTCCCCTCACCGTGTTCTTTCAAATAATTCCAGAAAAAAATTTCCATTGTTACTCGATCTTGGTTCCCATTATTCTTTATTCTCATAATGGGTTTAGTTGTCAGTGAAGGAGAAAGGAATTAATTGAATTAGTCAATAAGGGTTCTATGTAAGGAAAATAAGCAACATTCTGGGAAAAACATCTAAACTGTGTGCTTTGGAAATAAAGCAAATTTTGCTTAGACTGTCTTCCTTTATTTATACCTAGCAAGAGACGTATATTATTGATCTTACTTTTTGGGCATTAGAATTATTACAAGGAAAAAGTCCTGACCATATTAAGAAGCTTTGCTGGGCCGTGCCATAACATAGCATGTTAAACTTCTGCCTATGGTACTATGTAATATATGGACACTGGTTCGTGTCCCGGTTGCTCTACTTCCTATCCCGCTCCCTGCCTATGGCCTGGGAAAGCAGCCCTTATACCCATGTGGGAGACCCAGAAGAAACTGATGGTTTCTGGCTTTGAATTGGCCCATTTCTGGCCTTGATTACCATTTAGGGAGTGAGCCAGCAGATGGAAGATCTTTATCTGTGTCTCCTTCTCCCTGTGAATCTGCCTTTCAAATAAAAATTAAAATTAATCCTTAAAAAAGCGGATTTGCTAATTCCCCAGTTGAATAATCTAAACTCTCTTTAAAATTAGACTTAGTGAAGATTTAGTGGTGATAAAATTAATAGATGTATGCTTACTTGAAAATTAGATACCACATGGGGACTTAATGCCTCATATTTTGTTAATTTTGCGGTAATTCTGTGCTTTAGATCTGATATTGCATATTTTTCTCTAAAAAAATTAAATAGCAATTATCATAACCTTTACATGCCATGTGTGTTTTATCAGAATTACTAGACTCTACCATTGTAGCACTAAAGTAGCATAGCCCAGAAAGGCTAGCAGGTTGGATCTAACCTACTAGCCCTAACTTTCCAACTCCTGATGTGAATTAACCGTATGTCCCATTTTATAGATGAAGAAATTGAGTCTAAGTGAGTTTATGTAACTTGCCTAGAGTCATAGAGCGAACAAATAAGAAGCCAGAATTAGGTTTGCTTGACCCCAGAACTAATACTTTTAACAGATAACTTCTGTGATGAGATTAGGGTCAGTTCTGTAGTAGTGTAACAGTGTAATATTTTATTTGTTTGTTTGTTTGTTTTTGGCTTGTAACTAGGCTTTTGCTCTTGAAGTTATTAAATCTACTCATGATCACTGGAAAGCACTGCTCATGAAGAAGTGCGATGGAGGGGCAATCAATTGGTAAGAATTTGTCTTTTCTGTATAAGTAATGTTAGCTTATAATTAATTAATATTAAACCATGTAATACTTCTCTGATCACTTGTTTTTCAAAAAGGGGGGTTGTAGATTTTTTTTGGCGCTTAAAAATCCTTAGGGCTGGTTCAGTGGACATTCCTGATACTAGGCACTGTAATGGTAAGAACTGATTTGGTTGCTTTTCTTCACAGGCTTGTAGGTTAGTAGGACTGACAAGCTATCAGGTACTTAGTTAGAATCCTTTGTGATATTGTGGGGGCCGGTGTTGTGGCATAGAGGGGTAAAGCCAGCACCTGTGACCCCGGCATCCTATATGGACACCAGTTCAAGTCCCAATTGCTCCACTTATGATCCATTTCCCTGTGATGTGCCTAGGAAAGCAGGAGATGAACTAAGTGCATGGGTCCCGGCACTATGTGGGAGACCTGGAAAGGCTCCTGGCTCTGTCCAAATCATTGCAGCCACTTGGAGAGTGAACCAGCAGATGGAAGATTTTCTTGGTCTTCCTCTCCTTTTCTCTGTAATTCTGCCTTTCAAATAAGCAATGGATCTTTAAAACATGCTTTGTGATGTGTGTTAGAATGAAATAAAAATTAGTTGTTTTCATGCAGAAAATTAATGCCACGTAATTTCGTCTTACTGGGCCCGGCACTGTAGCCTAGTGGATAAAGACCTCGCTTTGCTTGTGCCTGGATCCCATGTGGGTGCCAGTTTGTATCCTGGCGGCTCCACTTTGCATCCAGCTCCCTTCTTGTGGCCTGAGAGGGCAGTTGAGGACAGCCCAAAAACCTTGGGACCCTGCGCCCACATGGGAGACCTGGAGGAAGCTCCTGGCTTCGAATTGGCTCAGCTCTGGCCGTTGAGGCAACTTGGGGAGTGAGTCACTGGACAGAAGATCTTCCTCTCTGTCTCTCTTCCTCTCTGTATATCTGACTTTCCAATAAAAATGAAATCTTAGAAAAAAATCATCTTTTCTGTATGATCTGTATCATGGTTGATTAAGAGGAGTCAAGCAACAGTGACATACATACATCATTTAAAAGATGTTTATTAATCAAGACCTTTTAAATATACAATCTATAAAATTTTCTATATATTCTCACATAATTTAGAATAAACAGTAAAAATTTTGTAATCCTCGTGTCCTTTACAATTGAAAACTTTACAGATTGGGAGCTTCTTTTCTAATCCTCCTAATTTGATCCCAAGCTTTTGTAGTGACTCACTTCTGTTTAGGCTTTTTAGCACCTCTGGTACTAACCTTAGTAGTTTTAGCCTATCTGGTGTTCACAGAAGTCTCTACATTCCTGTGATCAGTGAACATAATTACTACTTAGGTTGTTAATAATTGTGATAAGCACAATTGACATAAACAAGTTTGAAAACAAAAACAGCAGCTCTTGGTAAGTGTAGCTTTAGAAAGCAGAATAAGCACGGTGGCTCTGGACAGTAGAGTCTTGCTCCACTTCATTGGCTACTTTGCTGAATCACAAGAAGCCGAGAAGCCATTCATTCTTTCCCCATATACTGATTAATGGCCTACTACCAAGTACTGTGCTGGTATTAGGGATGTTTATGTGAATATCTTGTCTCTGTTCTTTTTGAGCATAGTAGTATAAGAGTCAAAGGTTACAGTACAAGAGAAATCAGGTAGAATCAATAGTTGTTCCATTTTGGGGGCAGGTGTTTGGCTCAGCAGTTCAATGGCTCTTTGCCCACTCACATCCTTTATCAGAGAGCAGAACTCAAGTCTCAGATCCACCTTTCAGCTCTTCACTCTTGCCCTCACCTTCTATCCCTTGTATGCCTGGGATCCCATATGGGTGCCAGTTCATGTCCTGGCTGCTCCAGTTCCCATCCAACTCCCTGCTTGTGACCTGGGAAAACAGTCGAGGACAGCCCAAAGCCTTGGGATCCTGTACCCATGTGGGAGACCTGGAAGAAGCTTCTACCTACTGGCCTGGGATTGGCTCGCCTGCAGCTGTTGCAGCTACTTGGGTAGTGAACCAGTGGATGGAATTGGCCTGGGATCGGCTCGCCTCCAGCTGTTGCAGCTACTTGGGTAGTGAACCAGTGGATGGAAGACCTTTCCTCTCCCTCCATCTCTCCTCTTTGTAACTCTGCCTTCCCAATTAAAGTAAATAAATCTTTCTTTTAAAAAATTAAAAAGTTTAGAAGTTATTTAATCTTGATGAACATTTTATTAAAATTGCTGAGAAGGTTTGTTCATCTTGCCCATAACACAAATCCTGAGAATTCCTTGCTTTGAAACATAACTAAAAGGTTTATGTATTTATGTATGCATGTGAAAGACAGAGCTAGAGAGAGGAGAGACAAAAACTATGCTAGTTCATTCCCCAAATAAATGGCTGCAATGACTGGAGCTATATCAGGCTGATGCCACAAGCCAGGAGATTATTCCAGGTCTGTCATCTAAATGACAGGAGCTCAGCCGCTGGGACCATTTTCTGCCCTCTGAGACTGTTAGTGAGCAGCTGAATCAGAAGTGGAGCTGCTGGGAGAGGAGCCACAAGCCATATGGGGTGCCAACATGTGGTGGCTTTAATATGCTACTCCACAATGCCAGCCCAAGTTCATTTCTCATGTAAGCTAAAGAAACACTGTCTTAAGCTTGTCACTTAGGTCATCTCCTCGCTTGTTTGCTTAAATTTTATGCGGATCACTGTCTGCCAAAAATGAAAACTTAAGTAATTGTTTCTCATTTAACTAAAAGTTGAATTTAACATCAAATTTGGGTGTAACTGAGTATGTTTTGTCCTGATTGTCCTGTACCACAGCCTTTGCCTCCCTATACAAAATGGCACCTAATGTGGTTCTGCTGGGGATCTGGGCTGTAAATCCAGCCTGTTCTTGCACTTCCTGTTTGGGGTCTGCTGCTCTGTCTCTGCTCCTGGTCAAATCAAACAAATCAGCAGAGCAGGCAGTTCTTTGCCTGGATTCAGCTGCTGAGCTCCTGGTGAACTCCACTTCCCACCTGGTTGCTGGTGGAGCTCAGATTGCTGCTGGCTGGCTGTCATTGGGGTATCTGGTCACTGCAACACCACATGGTCATCTCCACTGCTTTCCAGCTCTATAGTCTTTTTTTTTAAAGATTTATTTTTATTATTTTTTATTGGAAAGGCGGATATACAGAGAGGAGAGCAAGAGAGGAAGATCTTCCATCCAATGATTCACTCCCCAAGTGAGCACAACGGTGGATGCTATGCCGATCCGAAGCCAGGAGCCTCTTCTGGGTCTCCCACGCGGGTGCAGGGTCCCAAAGCTTTGGGCCGGTCCTCGACTGCTTTCCCAGGCCACAGGCAGGGAGCTGGAAGAGAAGCAGGGCTGCCGGGATTAGAACCGGCGCCCATATGGGATCCCGGGCGTGCAAGGCGAGGACCTTAACCACTTGCGCCACCGCACCGGGCCCAGCTCTATAGTCTTTTAATGGGATTTTTTTTATCTCTGTTATCTCAAAAAACTTTCAAATTTATTGCTGGATGGTTTTTTGAGATTTGAGCTTTATCATCCACCCTTCTCATTCTGCTTCACCCACAGTTTATCTACCTTATTTTTTAAGGAATCGGATATATATTGTTTAGCTTAGTAGTTCATTTATCTATTGATTATATATAGTAGCATATATCAAAGCTATATCAAAGCATGCATTATTTTTATGAGGTTTTGGAGTTGTTTTCTCTTCCTTTTTCTGCCTAATAATCATAAAATTAAATAAGATTAAAATTAAAAATAATTAAAATTAATAATATGATTAATAATATTTTCTTTTTTCTTTTGCCAGTACAAATGTTCAGGTGTGTGATAGTCCTTTTCTTTGTACTCCAGAGGAAGCAAGATCATTTGTTGAATCGGTAAGTTTACGGGCACGTGCCCAGGCATCCCTTTGTCCTACAAATATCATGGGGAAATCCAGCAGAAATTCTGGTGATGAAAGGTGTCAGTTCCTTTAGGGAAGCATAAAATTAAGAACATTACTTTGAAATTTACTTTATCTTATTTAATGAATTTACAGCACAAGTTTGAAAGCTTTTGATTGAATTTTTAAGTATGTTTCTAAAAATGAATTAGCCATTAACTAGTTTCATATAATAATATGTTTGTTGATGTTTATACACGTTTGCACTCCTTGGTGTTTTCTATCATCCTTTGTGTAATGTGGGACTGGCTGTTGGAATAGATATATTTTTGGTTCAAAAAAAATGAAATCTATGACTTCTTTTTTTTTTTTTTTCATTTAGTTTAGTTGTCTTATAAGGTTTTCTTCTCCATCCTAAGAAGACAACCTTGGATTGTATGTGCCTCACTGATAATGGTGCACAGAGGCAACTAAATTAAAGATGAATTTGGAGAACACTAAAAGTAAATTTTACATTCTGAGAAGGACATTGCTAGCATGTTCAAGACGGACTTTATGCTTAAAATCCTTTCTTATAAATTAAGACGTTTAAGGAATTATGAGATAGAAACTACTGAATTTAGATCTTAAGGAACAAATAATATTTCTCAATGTTGTTCATTATGGCTGTTGTTGATATGTTGGATTTTATTTCTCATTAATTCATCAGCTTTTTTATTCCTCCCCATGATGTGGTAAAGATTTGGTGCTAGAAATGCATTGTATTAAAAATTTTGAAAAATTGTACATTTTATAGCTCTTATTTAGTTGGAGAAATAATGCATAAGTAAAATAGCGATGGTTTAAGGTGGTGGAGTGGGTTGCGAATAAATGCTACAGTGGAAAATGAGCAGACAAGAGATGATTAAGTAAGTGTCAGGAGTGGAATGGAGTGGTAGTTATCTAAAATAGTGGTCAGGGATTGCCTCATTAGGAAAAGGGCCGAGAGAAAAATCAAGGTCTGCAGAGGATAAGGCAGTGAGCCCAGTGAATGTCTGAAGGAAGAACAGTTCGCACCATGATCACATGAGGATGAGGAAGAGCAGTCCACACCACAGTCCCAACAGGATACCTGGCATGTGTAAAAAATATGAAGAAAAAAATGAAAAGAAGTCTGAATGGAGACAGATATTGAAAGACCCTGTGAAGATAAGTGTTTCTACCTGTGGTTAAGGTGGGGAACCATTGGAATATTCTGAGCAAGGGATAATTTAACCTGCTTTATCACTAGGGCACTTTGGTGAGAATGGGTTATAGGGAGGCATTATTTCATGTGTCTTTTGGACATCTATGTTTCGGCCTTTGAAAAAATACCTGTTTATATACTTTGTGCATTTCTTATCTGAACTGGTTGGTTGCTGTTATTGTTGTTGAGTTTCTTGAGCTCTTTCTAGATCCTCAACAGTAATTTGTAAGCTGAAGAACTGCCATTTAATTGCCCCCGTAGTGAGTTGGGTGGAGTCTTTGAGTCCAATTGGTTAACATGTTCTCATGAAGAAATTATCAACTTACAATGAAATCACTTTTCTTAAAAGCATTTTGGCTTGAGATTTCTTCTTTTTGCAACCATCCTGAAATGTCTGAATCAGAATTATTTAGTTGTATTTTTTTAGCCCTCTTCATTTTGTTTTATACTGAATATTGTACTGTATTCAAAATACTGTCTTTTGTCTTTTGTTTGCTCTGAATAACTTATAGACATTAGTGTCATTCATCAATCTCAGAATCAGATTTAATCAAGTTTTGGGGTTGTACAAAGGCAAATTACACAATCTGAAATTTGTTCAAGTTCTTACAATGTATGAGTCAATGGGTGTGATATGCACCTAACTAATATTATCTTGATTCTGATCTACAATTTTTAACTGAATCTGAAGTATGATCCAAGCAAGGGCAGATAGTAGTTGTTTTTATGTTTTAAATGAACTGATTGGATGAGAATTTAGATAATGGTAATTGCTTTTGTAAATACAGGAAGGAAATAACTAAACTTCTTATGTAATCTTACGTTGATCAGAACATGAGCTGGTGACCTAGTGCGTTGGTTAAGCTCACAGCAGTGGTAGAAAAACTCCCAAATGACTAAAGGTGTTTAAATCTAAGACACAGGTGTCCTCCCAGGAAGTTTCAGCAGCCTTGGTCTCATGTTGGTTTTGAGTCCTTAATGATGGATTTCCATTAAATAAAGTCTGAAATAACCTGGAACACACAAAGTGTAATGTAGTAGAGATGATGGTACAGGTGCATAGGATGCGGAAACAGCCAGTGTTTTGGATAAAAAGGTAAAATACTATAATATCCACAATGTTGTATGAAAATATGGATGGTTGTTTTACATTTGCTGTCAGGTCATCTTAACTGAGGAGTATAGAGCAGAGTATTCAGGAGACCGAGGCTCATCCTACTGGCTGTTAACCTCCATATGTAATCTATCTAAGGCATGCCTACATTTGTCAGCATTCCCCACATAGGCACTACACAGGCACAACAGGTGATCCAGGTGAATGAAGGGCTTGACGTGGCTCCATCACCATGATCATCTCACATGAATGAGGTATACTTATCATTCAATAACAGTAGTGCATTTCATTTTTTCTGGGGCTCACGATAAAACTGAATTCTAGAGACTAGCTTAGGGCTGTATACATAGTGTATCTGTGCTTTAATTTTAAAAATGCTAACGGCAGGGCCCGGCGCGGTGGCGCAAGTGGTTAAAGGTCCTCGCCTTGCACGCCCGGGATCCCATATGGGCGCCGGTTCTAATCCCGGCAGCCCCGCTTCCCTTCCAGCTCCCTGCCTGTGGCCCGGGAAAGCAGTTGAGGACGGCCCAAAGCTTTGGGACCCTGCACCCGCGTGGGAGACCCAGAAGAGGCTCCTGGCTTCGGATCGGCATAGTATCGGCCCGTTGCGCTCACTTGGGGAGTGAATCATCGGACGGAAGATCTTCCTCTCTGTCTCTCCTCTCTGTATATCCGCCTTTCCAATGAAAAAAATAATAAAAATAAATCTTTAAAAAAAAAATGCTAACGGCAAATAGTTACAAGTAGGAAAACTAATGACTGGAGGAGGGATTTTGTAGTTTGTTATGGAATAGGACTTGTAATGGCTATGCTCCTCAAATAGGTTCCTTTGGGCTTTGCTGCCATTGACTTAGAGTTATGTTGATAGCATCACAGTACCACATGCACATTGTAGGAGGTGGCAAGCCTAGCTCAGAACGAAGCTGAGGTAATAAGTCCTTCCTCAGTTTTCTTACAACAGAAACTTCCTGACAGTGATTCAAGCTTGAGGGGTGGTTTTAGGACACATTAGGGTTGTGTGCATGCATTTCTTTGTTCCATTTTTCATAAGAAAGTGTTGCACATGTCATTACATTTAAAATCAGGTAATCATTAAGCAGTGAAGAGTTTAGTATTTGCCTTTACTATGAACTCCGTGTTTTCTAATTCAGATATTCATATGGAAATTTTGTAATAATTACATTCAAATATTGTCATTATCTTTGAGTATTGGACTTACACATGATGCTTGTTTCCTTTGCTACAAAAGCTTAATACTTTCTGAGTGTGTTCTACCAATCAAGAAATATATTTTAAGAATAAATAAAACCTTATGGAAATTACTTTTGAAATAGTATGTAATAATAAATGTTTTAGAGTAACTTGCCTATTTTAAAAGTTTTTCTATTTTATTTATGTATATACAGTGAAGAAGTTTTGCATATTTCATGATACAGGTTTAGAAGCATAGCAGCACCTCCCAGGATTCACTCTCCTTGCCTGTCTCTTCCCCCTTTTTTCCCTCTAATTTTACAGTGACATATTTTCATTACATTTCACAATCATAAACTTAACACTCCAACAGGTAAGATAGTAACACAAAGCAAGTAGAAGAAAAACAAAATAAAACCTGCCGTTCCTCTGGAGTGCAGACAAAGGCTGTAAACAATATTAAGTTACATGATTTTCCTCTTGCATTTAGCAGGGGTTTTTTTGTGTGTGCTCTGTGTATTATCACCTATCATAGGAAACATGGTATTTGTCTTTTGGGTACTAGCTTATTTCACTAAGCGCAGTGGTTTCGAGTTGGATTCATTTAGTTGCAAAAGGCACAGTCTCATTCTTTTTGTGGCTTAGTAGTTTTCTATAATATATATAATGCCACATCTTTATGCAGCCATCAGTAGATTGGGAGTCTGGGTTGATTGCATGCCTTAACTATTATGAATGGAGCTTTTATAAACATGGGAGTACAGAAAACAGTCTAACATGCCGATTTCATTTAGTTTGAATAGTAATGTTTTTTAGGTTAGTGAGAAATTACTCATTTTTAAGTATTTATTTATGAGCATCACCAGTCATTTCCAATAGAGCAAAAAAAAAATTGTTTATATTGGGAAGGCAGGTTTACAGAGAGAAGGAGATAGAGAAAGGTCTTCTGTCCACTGTTCATTCCCCAAGTGGCCGCAATAAAGGTCAGCATACTGGGAAATAACAGATACATCTTTACAGCATACATCTTTACTCCCAAATAATAGCAGAATTTCCATTATTATTATTTTAATTGTACTTTTGCATTATGTTACTTTATTTTCTCCCTGTTCCCACATTTGTAATGTTATGACACATTTATACATCAGAAAGTTGAGACTGAAACAGTGAAATGAATGACTGTGCCATTGTGATAATAATGAGAGAGGGATCCAGGGAGAGGGGAAGGAGGAGGGAGGAATGATCCTTTATGTGTGTAAATCTGTATGGGGGGGGATAAGAAAGGAAGGGAGCAAGCAAGCAGCAAAGGAGGAAGGAAGGAAATTGGAGATAAGAAAAAAGGAGGAGAGGGGAGGACAGGATAGGAGAAGAGGAAGGGAAGGGGAAAAAAGGATGGAGAGGAAAGAAGGGTAACAATACAGCAGTCACGTTGCACAAAGATGCACTGTGGGGTAACTTGTTTTCATCTACTTGCTTTGCATAGAAAACCACATTCTGTAAACACAAGCAGAGACTAGTTATTTCATGTCTGGATATTTTGTATGATACAGTTTCTCCATGAAACACTCTGGTTTTCCTTTGTAAAGTGCAGGTTCAATTATTATTTATTAGATGAGAGACTGTTCTGCCTCACCATCGCACACACAGTGCATGATTAAATAATCTGTTTTAATGTGTCTCTTTTACCCCCCACCCTAAAGTAAGATCATTAACTCCTGGATGCCTTAGCTCAGGGCTCTAAAAATTTTGTGTAAAGTTGAATTAGAAGTGAAGTTTATTTTGTTACAAAACATGTGAAATCCATAATCCTTGCAATTCAGGGATCTTCAGTTCACAGCAAGTGCCCATTAAAAAAAAAAAAAACCTATACAGATGTTCAATTTTTCTGCCAAAATGAGTTTTATTTTAATTCGATTTTCCATGAACAACTTGAAGTACTCTCGTATAATTTTTATGGTTCAGGGTTGCTGTTGCAGCCAGATCGAAGTTTTATCATCCTTAAAAACAACCATGATTAAGCAGTTTTTCTTTTTCTTTCTTGTCTTGAAATCCTTGTAAACAGTTGAGGATGTTGTAAAAAGAAAACTTTTTATAGGGATCTTTTTTATTTACATTTTATATCATATACTGAGCAAAGAATATAAAATCTGATCAGAGTTTTTCTAAGAAGTTTGTGAACTGAGCGAGTGTGTTAGATTCTCTGAAGAAATCGAATGAATGGAATGTGTATACATATTTCCGTGATGATATTTGGTCAACAACAAGTGGCATCTGATGGTGACCCCATAAAACTAAAAATAGATTGGGAAACTTCCTGTTCCCTTCTGTCATAACTGTTAGCACAGTTGTAGCACAGTATATTACTCTTATGTAATAAGAGTAATATGGCTCTGGTGTGAACATACCTGTGCTGCTGGTCACATGAAGTATAGCGCATACAACCATGTACAGTCCAGAATGTGTGATAATGAAAATAAATGGCCATTATCACTTATTATATTCTTTAAAAATTTTTTTTATTGGAAAGTCAGATATACAGAGAGGAAGATCTTCCATCCTCTGATTCACTCCTCAAGCGACCGCAACAGTAAGAGCTGAGCTGATCTGAAGTCAGGACCCAGGAGCTTCTTCTGGGTCACCCATGCAGGTGCAGGGTCCCAAGGCTTTGGGACATCCTCTCCTGCTTTCTCAGGCCGCAGGCAGGGAGCTGGATGGGAAGTGGAACCACCAGGACATGAACCAGCACTCATATGGGATCCCAGCATGTACAAGGCAAGGACTTTAGCCGCTAGACTACTGCACAGGGCCCTACTATATTCTTTTTATAATTGCTTTAGGATGCACTTCTATTGGAGAAGAGAAAAAAATCATGTACAGTTAATTATAAAACCATATGTTGTGCTATTTGGCAGCAGACTCATATACCCTATGTTAACCAGCTCTAAGTTTTATCACTTTCTCTTGCACTTGATCTGATCTCTTGCTGGTTTGTTCAACTTCATGGCTCATATTCATTACAAAGTCCACTGCTGATGGTGCAAATAAAAGCCTGTATCAAGAGACTGAGTTGGAAGTTAAAGATGATTAAACAATACTTATTGAAGAGACCTGGGTGGAATTCCAGGCCCCAGCTTCAGCTTAGCACAGCCTCAGCCATGGCAACCATTTGGGAAGTGAACCAGTGGATGAATGATTTATTTCTGTTTCTCTCTCTCTCTCTCTCTCTCTCTCTCTTTGTTCTCTCTCTCGCTCCCCCATTTCTCTCTCACACACACACTTCCTATCTCTGTAACTGCCTTTCAAATAAATAAATACAACATTCTTTAAAAAAATCAAGAAGGACTTATACTAAATACTGAGAAATTCCTGATGGTATGTGTTATGATCTGGCTGGGAAAGTGTATTCCTCTGAGCACCATGACCATTAGTGCAAAGGCCAGCATTTTTTAACAATGTTGAAACAAAAAGCTGAACCTGACCTTCTTTAATTTAGAGCTACTTCTGGGTATTTAAACAGTTCAAGAATGATTACTCATTAGATAATATGAGCATGAGTGGTGAGTCTGAAAACCCTGACATGAAGACAACTGAAGAATTTTTGGAAATTCTAGATAAATGTATCATGAAAGAAAATTACTTGCCAAAGCACATCTTCACCGTGGAAGTAGATAATGACCCCTGAATGCTCCTGAGTGTGTATGTGTGTTTGTGTTTGTGTGTGTGTGTGTGTGTAATTGAGACAACAAAGTAATCACCGTAAGCCAAACTCCAGAAGTGAGATATATCAAACTCAAAAGCTTCTGCAGAGCAAAGGAAACAGTGGAATGAAGAGAACAGGAAAATTAGGAAAAACTTCCTGCAAGCGATGTCTCAGATAAAAGATTGATGTCTGTAAACATAAGGAATACAGAAAACCTTGCAACAATAAACTGTAGCTCAGAAATGGGCAAAGGATCTGAACAGGCAAAAAAACAAAAAAGAGAGAGAGAAATCCTAGGGTCTCAGGTAGTCTGGCTTGGTCAGGATACAAATCATAATCATGATGAGATACCAACACATTCCAGATGGAATCCTGTTATCGAAAAGACAGAACATTACACATGGCATCAAGCGTGCAGAGAACAGGGAACTGTTACACGTTATAGGTAGAAATGTAAAGGTGTGGAATGACTAGAAGAAATAGTGTGGGGAAACTTGAGAGACTGTTAATCCAGTTGCCATATGATCCAGCAATTCCACTGGTGCTCTCCTCAGACACCTGCTCTCATTCGTTTGCTAAAGCTGCCGTAGTGAATCAGCCAGTGTGTCCATCAAAACATGAATGGCCTGTGTACACAGTGGAATATTATTCAGCCATAAAATAGAAACGAAGTCTGTCATTTGCAGCAATATGGGTGGAACTGGCAGCCATTTTTAGTTGAAATAGGCCAGATGCTGAAAGACAAATACTCTGTTCTTCCCTTCATGTTGGAGCTAAAAAGAAAAACTCCATCTGAACATGGAATAGTAATTAATGGAGCAAGGAAGAAGTGAAAGGTTGATGGGAGTAAGTAAGTTTCTAGTGTTAGCATAATAGGTGAGTGCAGTTCACAATAACCAAGTATATGTGTTGTGAATAAATGAAGGAGCTTAGAGGCCCCAAACGTAGTTGACAGTGGAAACACCTGATTTGATCATTTCACACTGTATACAACTATTGACGTTTCACACTGTGCCCATCAAAATATGCAGTTACTGTTCACTGAAATTTATTTGGGGGCCAACATGTGACTTGGCAAGTTCAGCCACCATCTACAATGCTGCATCCGCTCTGGGTGCTGGTTTGATTCCTGGCTGTTCCGCTTCTGGTCTAACTCTGTTAATGTGCCTGGGGAAGCAGCAGAAGACGGCCCAAGTACTTAGGGACAACTATTGGGAGGTGGGGGTTATTTTAACAGGATGCACTATGGACATATTTCTGAAGAAGATGCTTCCCTTTCCTTCCCCGGCCGCCACTTCAAGAGAAGCCTGAGACAGAATGTGTTGCTATCACAGGAGCTTACAACTCCAGATAGGTCATTGCTCCCACGACCTTCCCTGTGGGAGGAGATAGGGAGGTGAAAGAAGCTCCAACTTAACACTTAACAAAGATCACAATGAAGATTTGAATATTGCTAAAATTTAAATTTTTGTTCTTGTGTAGTCATTGTTCCTGACCATGAACAGGGAGGGCCTGGCCTCAGGTCAGGTCTTACTTCTCCAAGGGTCATGCTTTGTCTTGTGTCTAGTCACATACCTCAAGACAGGACAAGCAGGGAAAGGGACTGAACTTTACAGAATTAACAGAAAACAGGCCCATATTCTAGACCGTGTTCCAGCTATCCGAGACCTTGGGATTCCTTGCTCAGGAAACTTCTAGCCTGTGTGTGGAAATGCAGTGATGTGTCTCCTCGGATCTGTGCTCCCGACTTGTTTTTTAAAACACCTGAATAAAGATATTGTTCTTGATTAGAGGGAAAAAAAATCCTGTTTCTCAGAAAAAGACTTTTATATAGGCTTCTCTGCTTTGGATTATGGATTGAATGTGTTCCTAGAATCTTGACCAGCCCTCAAACATAAAAAATTCGTGTGTGTTTATTTTCACTTAATTTAGGAGCTAAAGAGAAAGACCATCCATCCACTGATTGAATCCCTCATAGACCACAACAGCCAGGGCTGGCCGTGCCAGCAACCCAGAACTCAATCACCCATACGAGTGGTTTGGGACCAAGTATGGAGTCAAAGCTGTAACTCAAACCCAGACATTTCCGTATCGGGTTGGCAGCATTCCAGCTGATCTCTTAACACTGCACCAAAAGCTCATTCCAGGAGAGTTAACATTTTATATACCATACCCCTTCATGAGTGTTAACTACCATGTACACATACGTACGCATATGTGTGGGTATGATTGTTATTCTTAGGACCTCAACCATGGAAGCAGCTGAAGTTCTCTTTCCATATTGTCAGCTACCAGACCTTCAGTAGTTCTCATTCAGGTGTGCTTTGTAAAATTTGACTCTATTTTGTTTATCAGAAAAAATGAGAAATACCAGTGAAAGAAATACTTACTTTCAGGTTAGGAAACAGCTGTATATAAAATTTGTCTTATTTCTGTCAAGAAAAAAAAAAGCATTTTTGAGGCATTTGCAAATAAATATTCATTATAATGGTTTCTCTGTTTTTGCAGAAATTATCATCTTCACGGAATAAAGAAAATAGTGAAGAAGGTATAGTATAATCTGAATCTTGGAACAGTGTGATTTGTAAATTCCCTAGTTTATAGAAGTGAAAACAAAAATTAAGTAACTTAAAAGTTATTAAAACTAAGTAAAATGTTTTAAAAGTCATTTTGAAAAAATTTTCACAAAATTTTTAAAAAGGACAGTGAAAAAATTATGTCTATTTCTAAAAATGAATAGTAACGTACTTATTACTTTAAGACTAGGAAGTGGTTAATTATGCAGTAACCTTTTTGTGTGTGTGTGGAACAGACTCAACCCTGTTCAGATAACTTTAAAAACGACTCCAAATATATGATTCTGGGAGATTTTGTTTTCTCTTAAATGAGTTAAATGAGTCAGTTTAACCACAGGCTTTAAAACAAATATACCAAGGTGAAAAATAAGTCCATTTGTCTTGTTGCCATTATCTGAAGCTCTTTTGAGAAGAAAGTGAAAATGTTCTGTGGTCAAAATTTAAAAATAAAAAAAAATTTTACTTATCATTTTTTTTCAAAAGATTGCAAAGTTTTGACCAAAAGGTCAAGATTTTAATGTGAAATATTTGAAGAATATGCATCTTGCAATTTGAAGACGCATGGAGATCCATTTACTGTGAGTCAGCTTGTAATACGTGTAGAAAAGAGAAAATCCATAGACATGTTTTCAAGGAAGAACACACTGTATTCCTTTCATGGTTTGCTACCACTGTTTCTTTAAAGGAACAGCCTGTTGTAAATATTTGACTGGCAATCAAATTTTACAATACCAAGTTTTTCTAGATCTGTAGGTTGGCATCTCACTGCTGTATTGTTCATTACAGAACAAAATAAAGTGAGAAGACTCCAGAATTTTTAATGTAATTTTGCATAACGCTTAAACAAATGACAAAGCTTGATAGTGCAAAGGAAAAATAGCTGTAGGTGGAGAAATGTGATGTACTAAGCTAGTGTCTTTTTTTTTTAATCTGCCTAAGTGCTCCCCAGAAGCCTCGATTAAATTGTTGTTACCCTTCCCTTCCTCTCTCCCCCTTCTTCACCTCTTCCTTGTCACTCTTTTCCCCCTATTTGAAATGCAGAGCAAATATGGCACTTCCTTGGCAAGTGAGTGATTTCTTTGAACTTCTGCCATCAAGATTTTCATCTCTGCGGACTCCAAGGCTTCATATCAGTGCTACAAGTATTTGCTGACTTCCTCTTGAATCTTTTTTTCTCACAAAATTTTTAACATACATAATATGTAAATAAATAAAAATTGAAACTTTTGAAGTAGTGTCCTTTGGATATGTGTTTATAGGAAAGTTGGGCTTGATTTCATAGTCTAAAAGTTGTAAGTGTCGAATTTTGACCAGTTCTCATTTCTATACCTGAAGAAACCTCATGATTTATTAGCTTTTTTTCTTTTAGTGAAAAAAAGGAAACATTAAAACTTTCAATAAATAATGTAACTTATCCAGTAGGACCGAGCCAGTTTAAAAAACATCATGAAAGCATGACAATGAGTCCTACCCAGTTAAAAACAGCTGAAACTCCGTGGCTTGTAGGTCTCAGTGGCCCTCCACCAGAAGTTGATTATTGGTAAGAGCAGGTGTCAGATCCTGAAGTAGGAATTGTCCCCAATTGGAGAGTGGGGCACTTAAGCTAGTACCTTGGGCCAGGTCTGTGCAAGGGTGTATAAAGCAGCCATGCCCACTGTGAGGTCAGCCGTTGTCTTAGCTGTCCTTTCCTGTGTGACTCACCGCAAGTCCAACCGCACCAATGTTTACAGCTCCTTCTGTGCGCCACCTTACAGCAAGTGCTGGAAGCAGAGCACTACCTGGCGTGCTTTCTGCTTGATCGCGCTGCTATTCCTCATGCTCAACACCCAGCCCAAACAAAATCAGGCCCTTCATGATGAAGGCGGCTATTTCCTCCTTTGCAAAAGGGGATACATAATTTCTTTTCCTCTAATGTACTATTTAGTCAGGATTGTTTATGTCTCTCCTGCTGAATTATAAATTCATTGGGAGCAGAGACTGATCAGGAAAATTTCTGCATTATTGTTTCACATAGTGACAAGTCATGTTTACTGAACAAAATTGATAGAACCTCCTGTGAAGAAGCAATTTCACTTATCAATAAAGTGTCTAGAGGTTAGGTGGATGCCTAGGAACTACATCTCATCAGGGTTCTGCTGTTGCAGGTAGAGGGGTAGCTGTCTGCTCCCAAACTTGTGTAAGATCTTTGAAAAATGTAAAAATGTATTCTTTTTAACTATCTCCACAGAAGGTTTAACATATCTAACCTACCAGCTGTTTCAGTTTTATTTAATTTTCTTTCTAAAATATTTATTTATTTGTAAAAGTCCTTCTATTCGCTAGTTCTCTTCCCAGATACCCACCAGATTCAGGGCTGAGCAAAGCTAAAGTCAGCAGCCAGGAGCTCAACCCAAAGCCACATGGGTGGCAGGAACTCAAGTACTTGAGCCATCACCTGTTCCGTCCCTGATGCATTAGCTGGAAACTGGAATTGGGAGCAGAGCTGGAACTGCACCTCAGGCACTCCATCATGGGAACCAGGTCTCCCACGTGGCAAGTGGTATGTTGACCGTTAGGCCAAACACCTTACCCTAAAGATTGTTTTAAATAGTTTTTGGATCTGATGACTGTTCTAAGAGAGCTTCTCATGAATCTTAGGTTATAAAACTTTTTAAGATTTATTTGTTTTCATTAGAAGGATCAGATTTACAGAGCAGAGGAGTAAATCCTGTAGTTCACTCCCCAAATGGCCACAACAGCTGGAGCTGAGCTGATCCAAAGCCTAGAGCCACGAGCCTCTTTCAGGATTCCTACGTGGGTGCATGGTCCTAAAGCTTTGGGCTGTCCTGTTCTGCTTTAACAAGCAATAAACAAGGAACTGAAAGGGAAGTGGAACAGCCAGAGATGAACTGGTGTCCATGTGGAATCCTGGCTCATGCAAGGTGAGGATTCAGCCATTGCAGCCATTGTGCCTGCCACAGGTTATACAATTTAATTATTTTACTTACAGGATTATTGTCACCTAAAATCCTGCTCTTCATTGAATTTTTTTTTAATTACATTGCATTATGTGACACAGTTTTAGGCATTGGGATTCCCCCTCCCCCTCCCTCAACCCTTCCGCCATGGTAGATTCTTCCACTTTGCTGTATTGCCACAGTTCAAGTTCAGTTGGGGTTCTTTCATTGCAAGCATATACCAAGCATAGAGTTCAGCATCTTATTATCCAGATAAGTTCAACGGCTTATTGGAGAGACCATCTCTGGTCTGAAGGTAGAGCCAGCAAAGTGTCATCCCAACCAAGCAAAAGCCCCAACATAACATCAGCAACAATCCACAATGTCATGGAATTAGTGGATATAGTATTGAGTAACCAATATATTAAAAAATATATATATGTTTTACAGGTACTATTTTCCATACTGACATCATTTCATCTTAAATTAAGGCAAACATGTATCTAACCTTTTGGGATTGGCTCATTTCCCTTAGCATTATGAATTGTGGTTTTTTTGTTTTTTTTTTTAGAATAAGCTTACTTTTGATGATGTTTACATAGTTAAGGAGGATGCTTACCCATGTTGACTACTGATTAGGGAGGGGAGGATTGAGAAATGGGGGAGAGTGGATGAGACCACTGTTTCCAGTCTCCTTTTTTCTTCCTGTACCTGGGGAAAGTGGGAAGAAAAGGGTTTACAGTCACCCTGTCACTTCTGTCTCCTCCACATCTCAAATGCAAACCAAAGGATGCTGCGGCCCAGCCTGACCCTGCAACCATACACTTGGCCCTCAGGCACACAAGCAGGAACTGCAGCTTAGTTGGAGTGACCCCCAATAACCCTCACCAGGCCTGCCACAAGCCTCGATTCCTGCACATGCTGGTATGTGCAGCAGACTTATCCAGCCCCTCCCATTTGGCTCTTGTACACATCAATGGATGTTGGAGTCTAGCTCAGTCTGTTCATCCCACACATATGCTGGTGAATGCCACTGCCTGTCCAGCCAGTCCTGTACCCAGCCCTGGTTCTTATGCTCACTGGTGGTTGCTGCAGCGCATCAGAGAGGTACCCAAGTTTCCCTAATAGACCTACTCCCAGCCCCTGATCTTGCACTGTGCCAAGTGGTTCTGCGGTACAGCTGACAGGACTTCCTCTGAGTCCCAACATGTGGTAGCTGATGCTGCAGCAAAGCCCAACCAGTTCGCACTTTGGCTCATGCATGCACCACTGGATGTGGTCACTTAGCCCAGCCTGGCTCTTCCCCTAACCCAGCTCACATGCAGGCCAATGGGTTTTGTAGCCTTGCCCAGCCTGATCTTCCTCCAGTTCTAGTTCTCATGCTTACCTGCTGTCCAGAAGGGAAGTCTTCGCAGCCCCCTTACCAGGCTTATCCCCCTACCCCCGTGTGCTGGTGGGTACTGTGGCCCAGTCTGGCATGGCCCATCTCACCTTGGCATTTTCTAGTGGATACTGCAGCTTGCCTTTGCCCTATCTGCCCCAAGACACAGTTTATGCAGGTGGGTCTAGATAGCCCCCAGTCTGGGCACTAAAGTGAACTGGATGGTGTTGCAGCCCAACATCACCTGTCCTGCACCCAGTTGTGGTTCTTCGATCCACGGGATGTTATGAACTGGCCCGGCTTGGCTTGCCCTCAACCTGATCCACATGTATGCTGGCAGGTACTATAACCTGGCCCAGTCTGAATTGTCCCACAGCCTTAGACCTTGTGCTCACCTGCAGGGTCTGTCTCCTGACAGAAGAGTTCCCCAAGGTCCTCTATCAGGTCACCTTCCAGTGGCAGATTTCACACACTGGTGGGTTCTTGGCCTAGCCTGACTTGGCCCACCTCCTGTTCTGGCAGATACAGTGGCCTTGCCAGCCCATACCCATTCCATCTCTTATTGGATGCTGCAGCCCAACCCTGCTAGCCAACTTCCAGACCCAACTCTTGCATGGTTCAGCAGGTGTCAAGACCTAGCCCAACCTGTCTTACACCTACTCTTGTTCCTGCGAGCACCAGCAGATGCTAGAGCCTAGGCCAGTCTGGTGCACCCCAATCCACACCCATGCTGAGGGATGCTGCAGCCATGTCCAGCCCAGTTCACTGCCCCCATTCCAACTCTTGTGCTCATTAGTGGGAACCAAAGTCCAGCTGGGGTGTGCCATTAACTCCCCAGCCAGGCTTGTACCAGCCATAGCTCTTACACATGTCAGAGGTTGCTCCAACCCGGCCCAATATAACCCATCACCCAGCTTGGCCTTTGCCATCAGATGCTACAGCCTCACCTGACCTGGCCCACCTCTAGTCCCAATGCCTTCTGGTGGATGCTGTCTTCTAGCCCTGCCCAACCTGCTCCCAACCATGGCTTTCATGCAGATCAGTAAGCGTGATAGCTTAGCCTTGCCCAACATGGCCTGCACCCCATATTGTCTCCCATGCATTTCAATGTACTATTGTTTGGCCTAGCTCTGCCCAGTCCAATCTGTCCCCCCCCCAGAGCTGCCGACATACACACACCTGCCAACAAGTAAAGCAGCCCAGCTCAGTCTGACCAACACCCAGGTGACTTACATACTCACCAGCTAAAGTAACAGCTCACCAAGGGAGTTCCCACTTTCCCAACCAGGCCCTCTCCCAGACCCAAATCTCTTCATGTGTGTCAGCTGGTATTAGGCTTTTACCTGGCAGTCTGCCCTTGGTGTCAGGGCTTTTGTGTGTGTGCTGGTGGATGTTGCACCCTGGTCTGCCCCACACCCAATTCTTGGTTTGCCTGTGGATGCTGCAGCTTGGACCAGCCCGGCCTGTTCCCAACCCCAGCACCTATGAGTGTTGGTGAGTTCCATGTTCATGACTGGCTCAGCCTGTCACCACTCCCAGCCCTTGAGCAAACCAGCTGGTATAGCAGACCCACAGGGGTGAGTCCACAAATCTGCTCCCAGACCCAGTTCTCTTGCAGGCTGGTTAGTGTCATGGCCCAGCCTGACATTGTCTACTCCCTGCCCTGACATTCACTGGTGGATACTATGGTCAAACCCTGCCCTGCCTCATGGCTTTTGTGAGTGCCAGTAAATGGTGGTTGATACCAACAAGCCCAGCTTGGTTCTCCTACATGGGCAGGTGTTTCGGTTTGATCCTGAAAGGTCCTCCAGTTTCCATCCTCTGAATCACCGGGTCTCGGCCTCCTCATTTACAGGCAAGTGCAGCAACCTGGTTGGTGGGAATCCCCCAAAAGTCACTCCTCACCTGTC